TGAGATGGAGCACAGAGTGAAAGTGCTCAGCCTGTGTCGGATCTCCTTCATAACTGCTGGAAAAAGCCTCAAAGCTGTTGCAAGAGCATCTTTAGTTTTTCCTTTGTTTACATCTTTTTGCATACCACATAATTCCATATGTCTAATGTCATGCTTCCAAAGTCTTCAGTTTTGTTCTACACTGCAGAAAATAGTTCAAATAAAGAAAATCTCTTAAAATTGTAGTTGTGTCCAAAAGTTTTAGCGGGTACTTCCTGTATAGTTGTTTAATGTGACAAGAAACTGCATCTTCACTTGAAAAAGTTTCTACTGTGAAACTATACAACACTTTGTACAACAATAACTCAAAAGTCATTAGAGTGAATATTTTTTCAGCTGGGTAGAAACACTAGAAGTAACACACTCACTGGTGACAAACACAAACATACAAAACCAACTCTTCTCTACAAATAAAGAACAAGAACATCAGAGCCAGAATCTATCATCTTTAACGAAGAAAACCATTTTACTGTGAAAAACAGCACCTGCAACTGCACAGATATTTAGGTTTTATCATCAGTATAAACTCAGGTGAGGAGAATTCCAAGTCTACTTTATAAAAAACATGCAAGTTGTTTGTAAATAATACAAATAACGCTGTACACTTGATTATCTACTTAACACTCCTACAAACATAAATGTCATCAAATCAGAGCGAGAACCTCCAACAAACGTAACTCTTTGCTTTTTACCACCAGCTCATAAACTTTACGACACTTTCAAAATGTTACAATCCACCAGCTAGACAAGTACAAATTCCAGTCTTTACATGTTGTGTCACTCTAACTTCTGCTCTGTATTGTACAGATCATAAATGCTATATCTTTTCTTTTTCTTGTTTTTAATAGATTTTTGCAAAGCAGTTTGTAACCCTATTTTTAAAGGTGCTGTCTAGAAAACGGTAGTGGTCATCAGGACCATAATACCACCACATAGCTATGTCTTAACTGATCCCACTGTAGATCGCAGAGGAGACAGAGGTCCATCCCAAACTCTTAACCAAGCTAAATTCTCTATGCCACTAACAATGTCATTCCCTTAATGAATAACCCATCCTTGTCATTTGTATATAGTGTCTGAAGAGAGTACACAACCTTTTTTCGTTTAGCACCTTAAACAGAGAGGATGTACCGAACTAGATCAAATTGCTCGACAGAAAAACATTCTTGAATCTCAAAGATAAAGATAAAACCCATTACTGCAAGCTGACTCCCATTCTTTACCATGACAGTTTTCATATGTGTATACAACTGGCCGGTGTCCAAAGACATTAGAATTGTCCAAAGACACAGGCCAGTTATAGACGCTTGCAGTGCAGACACAAAATTTGGGCTACATACAACCGGTATGCGTGGACATCTGCAGACTTGGATGTACGGGTTATAGGTTATTATGCCACACTGTCAATTTAATCAAAATAACTACATATTCTTGAGATAGGTAACACAGCTGTGCCACACGTCATATTTTATTGGCTCCGCTTTAAAACAGCAGCCCTGAGTCCCTACGTTGTAGGAGGGACTAAGACATGATGAGAGGAGCTGAGGAAAGGAATCATGGCTATACAGAGTTGAGAAGTGGGGGCAGTCGGACACAGGTATAAAAGTGGCACAGAAAAACCTATGTGCTAGAATTCCTAAAAACTGATATTTAGAACAAAACCTGTAAGCATGAACGATGGCGAGTCCCAGAATGCACCTGAATCCTGGAAGACCTACCTGACTACTACAACAAGGCATCCTTCCAAAAAAACTCTCAAAGAACTCAGTTCAGCTCAATGAGACTGCAGAAGTTTCGTAAGAGCCTCACCCAAAGTCCTTTCTAAAGGTTACGTCCAATTATATTTATAGAGCCTAAGATCACTCCTTTTCCTCTAATGGGTATCTACAGCTTGTAGAGTGTTCAGCACCTTCAATCCTGAGACTTTCACAACAAAAAGAACCTCACCTAAAAGCACTATTGTAGGAGTTTATTGTTGTAGAACAAAACCGTCAACAACAAAGCTATGAAATAACACATAGAATTATGTGGTAAGCAAAAATGATGTATTATTTGCTTTGCTTCATGAAGAACGCGTCCCAACAGTTTGAAGACGTTTGTATGGAATCCTACTTCCTAATCAAGCAAAACTTTCTAAATAACAAACTCAGTGAAGCAAAAAAAGTAATAGCAAAAGTAAAACTTCTCACTTGCAAACAAAATATTTGGTCTTTTCTTTTCTTAATAATCTGTGTTTTTGCATACAATTTCCTCTGCTTCTTTTGGACTGACCAAGTTTATGGTTGGTTTTGTTGTTACGCCATCAGCTTGTTTGTTTTCACTGCCTGTTTTTTTTTTTGTGTGTGTTTGCAGCTCTGACACAAAATCAAGTGACTGGGATGGTTCAGGGGAACATCCCAATTGGTTAATGAGACACTGTGTTGCTTATAACTTTAAGTAATCATTTTACATGTAAATATAGCCAAAGTTTCAGCATGGCCACTTTTAACTTGTGTACGAGGTGTTTCAGAAAAGTTCCAGGACTGGGGTCACAAAAGATATATTTCAAACCGAAACTAGGAGTTTTCCCCTTCAGACCATCAACCAGCACGTCTACAAAGAGATCCTGCCGTGTTTGCGTCGTTCAGTGCGTGAGAAGAGGTGAAAGTTGTGGCAGGATCCCAGAAGATTCCTTCCAGAAGTGCATGGCGGCGTGGCAGAGAAGGCTGGGAAAGTGTGTCAGACTCCAGAAGGATTACTTCGAAGGAGAAAACTGGTAGTTTGTACTTTGGATTTGAAATATATCTTTTGACACCAGTTCTGAAACTTTTCTGACACAACTAACTAACCTGTACACTGTGCTGAGTTGCATATTACAGCAGCACAGCAAAAAGCACCAGCACCAGAAGACAAACACACAGGAGGCACTGCACTGTATCCGTTTGCTTCTCTCCTGCTTCTTGTGCGCACATACACTGTATTCAAATACAGCACGACTCCCAATAAAGCTGCTCTCACTTACATTTTTTCTGATTTTGTTGTCAGACAAAAGAAAGAGTGTCAAACAGTAACAGAAGCACAGCTCACTAAGACAGATTATTAAGTAAGCTGCTAAAATTGTGTTTGGATAAACAAAATGTTGTCTGACAAATTAATAAACTTGAGTTAAAGATGCTGGCTGTTGGGTGAATTTGACTAAATTTAAATTTGAAGTACTAGTAAAGTCATAGAGCAACTGCCTGCTTGTAAATTATCCACCATGACCATGTTGCACTTTATTAATATACAAACTGATCATTTTCACTTTTTAAAGGGTTTAATAGAAACTTGGATTCCTTTTAGAGTCACACTGCTGATGTAAATAATGTACCTTCTTTTTTGTTTTTCTATCATGTTGGATCTGCCAGTTAAACTCTACAGTTTTGCACGTTACTATATAAACCTTTGTTTACATTTCATACTGTGCTGATTTATACAATGACAGTTTGGCAGAATAAAATTAACTTTTTGCTTTTCTGGAGGAAAATTAATAATTAAGATAAATTAATTGGTGAAATAGTCAGTAGAATAATTAATCGAAAAACAGTTGTTCACAGCAGCACTATATATAATCCACCTATTTAAATTGTATTAGGGCCTAAAGTCACGCTAATTAAGGACGTGGCTGCTTTTGGTGAGAAGCGGATGCTGTCAGTAGACAGTCCATGGCCCAGAGATGTTTGCATAATCTCCTTAAGCTCCAGTCACACTGCATTGCTCATTTTTGGATCAGCTGGGAGTTAAGAGGAGTCAGACGCTGCCAAGACAGACACGACTGGGGCCAACAGACTGAGCTTTAGAACCACTCTGTAGGAAACCTGTGTGTGAGGTCATTGAGAGGTTGTCCATCCTTATATAGAGTCATTAGCTATATTTCAATATCCATACTTCATTCCTAAATATTATGCCAGAAAAATGTTTCGTACGTCTCAATACAGGGTATGTCAAATGTAGGATGCTAAAAACATCTGGATGTCCAACTACATCCAGTCAGATTTTGCAGTATGTAAGCCTGCATGCGTTTCTGACCATTCTGACCCAATCCTCTTCACTTGAGTCACATCCATCATGGTATCGCACGTGACTATAAAGAGGCTTGAGCCACTGAGAGCCACAGACAGATGACAGCTCATTTTGCAAGGCAGACTGCAATAGTCAGACTTTAAGGCGCATTGTAAGGACAAATTAGTGTGTCCCAGTTATCTGAATATTGCATGAAACAGTATGTGCTTTATGAGGGCAGCTGTTGTACATACTTAAAGTACAAGAAAAAATATGCGGTTTAGAATGTGGGCAAAGACTCATTAGCCAATCGGGACAAACTCCTGGAAAAACCTGCCCAGATAAGAGGTCTGTCTCAGGTTACACAAAAGCAAGTGATGGCAGGGTAACCACAAAGCCATGAGGAGCCATGTTTCTAATTGTAAAGTGAATTAGACACAGATTTTAGAAATATTGCCAAACAATTTTAGAAGAACAAATGCAAATTAGATTGGATTCCATTAACTGAGGTACTAAACCAGGCTGCACAGTGTCATCAGAAGGTGATGCACAGGCTACATTACACACTGCTGTGATGAATGGAGTACAAGAAGGTGTAACGCAGCCAGTTGTTTGCTAATCACTAAGAAATCTTTAGGACAAAAAAGAAACAAAACTTTGGATACCATGAGAGAAAAATGGAGAGAGGTCTTCAAAAATAGGTTTCTATAAGGAAAGATGTGAGACAATCTAAAAAGCAACATTTTGACTATATTAGCAACAAATTAGATCAGTATGCTGAGCACTAGTTGGTGGCTTTTCCTAACTGCACAAGCTTTAGCACTACAAAAGTGAAAGGTCACAGAACCTTTAGTAGTTAGGAACCTTGTGGCCCTGATGATGGTGACAGAAGTGTTGTCGAACATCAGGGAGGAGTTTTTCGAAGGGTCTGTCTCTAATCTTCAGTCACTGTCACTGCTGCTCTCCGAAATCACATACCAGTTATCTTCTCCCGTGTTTTCCACAAACAGACCTAAAACAAAAAGTGCACACGTCAGTACAATGCAGGTGGAAATTTTTCTCTCTCATGTTTTTAAGCATCTTACCATTTGGTGTTTTGTCTCCATCATCTCCCTCATCATCATTGTCAACATGCTCCATATCATAGCTGACAAACATATTCTGTGGAAAAAAAAAAATCTATTAAATTTGTCATTACGTTTTTGCTTAGTTTTTTTTTTTTTTTACCTCAATAAAAACATCTTTCACTACTTGAAGTTCTAATATACAAGGTTTTTAACAATAATGTAGCATTAGTATGGTACATTACATATTAATACGTGGTCCAAGAACTGGTAGCCTGGTGCAGCGACAACCACCTCAGCCTCAACACCACAAAGACAAAAGAAATCATCATTGACCTTCAGAAGTCAAGAACCACATTGTACTCAGGCCTGGGCATCAGTAGGGAGCAAGTGGAGCGGGTCACGAACTTTAAGTTTCTCGGACTGCACATCTCAGAGGATCTGGGCTGGACTGTGAACACCACCCACATTGTCAGAAAGGCCCAGCAGCATCTCTTCTCTCTCAGAATGTTGAGGAGGAACAAACTCTCTCCACCTCTGCTGAAAACTGTTACCGCTACACACTAGAGAGTGTCCTGTCCTATGGATGTACAGTGTGGTACGGCAGCTGCATGGCATCAGAGAGGAAACAACTTCAGTGGGTCATCAAGATGGCTCCCACACTTGGAGATCTACTTGAGTCGTCTCTTCCGAGGGGCCACAAAGATCCAGAATGAGCCCGCCCACCCAGGACACTCTCCATTTACCACCCTCCCCACTGGCAGACTCATGAGTCATGAGAGCCGTACCAACAGTCTAAAACACGGCTTATTTTCCCCGTGGCTGTGAAGAGACTGCTGCAGGAACCATGACACTCCCAGTTTACAAACTCATTCTAACAAATGCTTGTTTGCACTTTTAAAAGAGTATTTATTTTATATTTTATTGCCATTTTATTAGTTATATCACCTTTTGACTTTTTCTCTTAGACTGTGACCATATTAGCTGCTACAAAGATGATGCCAAATGAAATTTCGTTGTGTCTCTTGTACAATGACAATAAAGCTTCATCTTCTTAATATGGCAGCAAACAACTATTTGCCATGCAAAACAGTTGTATAGTGGAGTCTTGGTGTCGTTAGTCGAGAATGAACTCGTACTTCCTCTGTGTAGGTTTGGAAATTGTTTGAATTTTGACCATTTGGATTCCAGTTCTGCTTGACGGTTCCTGTTCTTAAGGGTTGTCAATTCAGATTCTTTGAGTTTCAGGTGGTTAAGGTCACTACTACAGTAAAATGATCCATTGCTGATTTACATGAGAATTTATGCAAAAATGGAGATTAAACCATTTACAGGGATCACAGATCACCTGCATAGCAGTTTTAAAAGCTTCCCTGTCATAAGTAAAACAACTGGACCTCAAAAATCACTCTGAGAACATTCTAATAAACCAGTTTCAAGGCGAGGCGGAGTTCACCTGGAACAAGCCTCATCCATCCTGGTGTGTGAGGGAAGTAGCAGCACCAGGTGATTACAATCACACACTTGGTGTTACTAGGGGAACTCGGCAGCAGATGAGTAGTTTAACTAAGGATAATGCTATACTCCCAATTTATTAAAACAAATGCATTAGGAGATGGGATGAAATGCTGACATTCAGTTTGCATGGCGAACAGTGCAGACAGATAGCGGCAATATACAGAAGGTTTATGCACTAGCATGAGTGAAATATATTTGGCAACTGACAAGCAGAACCAAAATTAGAATTGCTTATTGATTCCTTGCGAATCAGAGTTCTGAAACTACGAGGTGTGTCAGAAAAGTTTCAGAACTGGTGTCACAAAATACATATTTCAAATCCAAACTACAAACTACAAGTTTTCCCCTTCTAAGTAATCCTCCAGGAGTCTACCACACTTTCCCGGCCTTCCCTGCCTCGCTGCGATGCACTCCGGGAAGGATTCTTCTGGGATCTTCCACAGCTCTGTCGTCACAGCAATCTTGACGTTGTTCACATCTTCAAAACCGGTCCCCTGGATGACCCCTTGAGCTTGGGGAAGACGAAACAATCCTACGGAGCCAGGTGGGGTGAGTAGGGATGTTGCTCCAGCACGGAGATGTTCTTCTCAGCCAGGAACTGTCGGATGCTCAGGGCATTGTGAGCAGGTGTGTTGTCATGGTGAAGAAGCCACGACTTGTCCTGCCACAACTCTGGCCTCTTCTTACGCACTGAACGAAGCAAACGCTGCAGGATCTCGTTGTAGACGTGCTGGTTGATCGTCTGGCCCTATGGCAAGAACTCGCAGTGGACGATGCCTCTCACATCGAAGAATGCGATCAACACGACTTTGATTTTGGACTTCGACTGTCTTACTTTCTTCAGCCTTGGTGACGTCGGACTCTTCCATTGAAGGCGCTGGCCTTTGGTCTCTGGGTGGTACTCGAAGATCTATCACTCATCACTGGTGATGACTCTCCCGAGCAAGTCTGGTTCGGTTTCAAGACGTTCGAGGATGTCCTGACACACTTGCATGCATTGGCCCTTCTGGTCATCGTTCAGCAGTTCGGCACCATCTTTGTGCAGACTTTCCGCATGCCCAAATCTTCAGTGATAATCTTCCAGACGTTGTCCTAGTTCATGCCCAGCTCATCTGTGATCAGTCTAAGGGTCAACCGACGATTGCCATGCATCTTCTGCCTGACGTGCTCAATGTCGGCCTCAGCCTGCTCGTTGAAGGCCTTCCTCTCCTGGGGTCGTCTTCTGCATCCGAGTGTCCCTCTTTAAGTCTCTTGCACCGCTCAAAAGCACATGAGCATGACATAATCTCATCTCTGTACACTTTCTGCAGCAATCCCAGTGTTTCTGACGGAGTTTTCCTCAACTGGACCAGAAACTTCAGGTTTGTTCGTTGCTCTGTGCTCATTGCTTGATGATATGAAACAGAGGATATGTATACAAAAGCATGTGGAAAAAAGTTCAATAGCTGCAGAGAGCTGAGATCCCAGTTATATACTCTAGGGTGATTACTTTGAAGGGGAAAACTCATAGTTTGTAGTCTGGGTTTGAGATATATCTTTTGTGACACCAGTCCTAGAACTTTTCTGACACACCTCGTGGTTCTAAATTGAAGCCATTTTGTGATATCCAACCCTATCTCTCTGTGATTTGTAATCTGAGCTTCTGTGTTCTATGTTTTAGTAGCTGGTTTGCCGTGCGTGCATCTTATTGCATGAGAGTCCCGCCCTTTCAAAACTGCTGGCCTTCCCTGCGCCTGTAAACATGACGCTAGACAATGAGAGTGACCTCCCACTACATATTGTGGCATGTGCCATCCGGAGCCAACAGCTAGTTACCGCTGTAATGTACTGTACTGTGGCTGGAATAGATTTGGTGGCCTCTCATGTACACAACCTCTCCGCTTGTAAATGAAACATGAAGGGAGGGGGAAGGTGTGGGAGACAAGCCCGTTTGATTTAATGTGAGAAGCTGGTGCTCTAGCAGCATCTAGTGGTTGTGAATGTCAAATACAGCACCTATATAAAGAAATCATAATTATTCTTTATGGTCAATGTGAAACTCATTTCCTTTTGCTGTTGATAGTTAGAAAAAGTTACTTCAGTACCTTGTTCCTGACGAGTCTTTCCCAGTATCCCTGCTGTTGTTTGACCAGTATGAGAACTGGCTCGTTGGAATTCATTTTCAAACAGCAACAGTCTGCTGCAATATTTTGGTGAAGCTCCATGTCGACTCTGTAGGACCGACCGTTTACTCTGCCACTGAACACAATCAACGAAGAGACCATTAATGCTCTGAATAATGGACAGGTTTCTGTTTTGTCCTCAACTATAATGCAAACAGAGCTGGTAAATTTACTGTCATGAAATTTAGTTCCACTCTCAGGCACACCTCAGTCTGTCCTCACCTCTCCTCAGGATGACCTTTCTCATGTCGTCAGGCAGGTGAGAAGTGGAATTCATTGGAGTGACAGATCTGAGGCCACCAACATGTAGCGTCCCTTACATTTTTTTATTTGGTCAACCAGCCTGAAATCAGATGGTCCCAATGGCCATCTTCATGTCTGTGTATGTACACAATGGACCCTGCGCTACAACGAACACTTGTTCTAGGAAATGTTGAATGTGCAGATCAGTGTTTCCCTGGCCTGAGATAATGTCTTCAAATAGCATTAATTTAACATCAGTCAAATGCTAACAAATGATCAAACAACTACAATGGAGTACTTAAGGTATATGAACTCCAAAGCTTTAAAAACCCACAAGAAAGGATGAAAAAACAAAACCAGATGGTAGCCACTGATTGATTAATTGATTGAACACAGAAAGCTAACATCTACTGTACTGTTTTCAGGGCACATTAATGATAAGGATTTGGATTTTACAAATGAAACACTAATGTCACATAAGCTTGCAAACAAAAGACGACTGGTAATGTGGTGATGTCTTTTGAATGTGAGAGCACAACAACATCCGTCTGTTGTAATATAAAAATGTGACACAAAAAGCGATTTTACAACATGTTATCACAGGGTGAAATAATGAAGTCTGTGAAAAAAAACATTCAAAGCCATGCTGTAACTGCAAGAGAACAGCAGTAAAAATCAATAACAACCATTTTTACATAATTAACTGATGTAAATCAATTTTTATTTGTGCTCATGCTTCACAGTAACTCTAGCTAAATTTATAGTTATCTGCACTAACGTGTGCAATACTGTGTCATGGATTTGATTAAATTTTGAGCTTTATTATTCAGGAGGAACAGAGTACAGAATAACTTAAGCAACCAGTGTCTTACAAAGGAAAGTAATGGACTTTGTGGATTAAGTTTCCGAACATAATCTTAAACTGTAAACTATAATTATGTTTGATGTATTGCATTGATATGACACTGGCCCTCAAAACATAAACAAGTATTTTTATCCCTCATATGCTTATGTTCGTTTAAGTCACACACAGGCTGGCCATGCTAAACATGTATCCACTACCACCAGTGTACAGTGTTCTGGATAAAAAGCTGCATGTGTTGAACAGCAAGTGCACGGTCACTAGTGATCTGGGGAAGACAGACCTGTAAATGACTCGGTCAGGGTAGAAATCACAGCGTTGATTGTCTGGGTTCATCAGCTTTACGGTTAGAATCACACAGTCGGATGTTTGATACCAGCGGACCTGAGGGTGGAAACTGAAATACAAAGACAAAACAAAGACACTGGACAAACCAATAATAGATTTTGTCTTTTTAGAAACAGACACTTAATTAGGGCTGCAGCTATCGATTATTTTAATAATCAAGTATTCTATTGACTATTCTGGCAATTAATTGAGTAATGATGAAAAAAAATAAATCATTAAATCCCTTTAGCTCCATTTTGCATACTGCGCCTGGCTGTACACTACAGCATCAAAAGCAGAAGTGAGCACGCTGTGCAACAAAAATAACCGTCTGGGCAGAACATAGGAAGACAGCCGCGTTGTATCATGTATGTTTAGTATAGTATATAATGGATTGAACGAAGCCTCAAGGCATTTTAGTCATCGAATTACTTGAGGAATCGTTTCAGCCCTACACTAAATAGTGAAGCTTATCTTTTATATTCTGGATCATCTACTGTAGGTTGCACAAGGTAACACTACCTTCAGTTTTCCTCCACAATGTTTAAGCAGAACATTGTCTTCATTTTGTAACTACAGAAGTTGTAGAAAGAAGGAGTTCTCTTTTAGCTTTTTTCACCTTTTAGTCAAGTCATCACAGTCTGCTCCATCAGGGCTGATGACCTGCTGCCTGTTGCTTTGGTCAGCACCTTCAGGCACACCTGTGAAAACATTTACATATATATACATATTTCTATACATATGAGAAAATGCAGCTCAGCATGAAATGGAAACAAATGTCTGTATTTTGATGTTCAAAATTGTAGCGTTGAACTGACATGATTTAAGAAAACTAAAATCAAGGTTTAATATTTAAGTCAGAAGTGTAACTTGAAAAGAAATCCAAGTTTCTGTTCAGCCCCTGAACGCAGTGATGTGACAAAGTGTGGCCTTAATGTTAAACAAAGTACAACATAGATGTGGTGAATATTTTTACAAGCACAGAGCAGCCATGGCAACTCTCTTTCTCCTGATTGTGTAATTGTTCTCTGATTTTGGTAGCAGCTTCAAATTCTGTAAAACTACAGCCAAATTCACAGCACAGCAGCTGTTTGGTGAGTCAGGAGCAGCAGTCTGTAAGCGACTGGTGGTTAACATGAAATCTCAACTGGCTGTGTTTCAGTCATTTTTCATACTTGTTCCATTGTCTGACAACAGAAACACACCAATATGTAAGTACAGTTTTATTGGGAATCAGGCTGTATTAAAACCCAGATATCTGTGCTTGTTTGTCCACAGATAGCAGGAGAGAAGCAAACCGATGTAAAGTGGCTCTGCACTTAATAGCTCCTGTTTTTTTTCTTTTCAAGTGTTCAAGAACTCCCAAATGTAGAAAGCTCTTTGGAAACTTCTACTAACATTGAACCGTGTCGGCCTTTGCTGCTGCTGCCATTGTCTGAAACTGTGGCCCTGACTGCAGCTGACCAATGACTGGCGCCAAAAACGACAAACGTCATGATGCAGCAATCCCACAGGGATACTTTTTTATAGTGAATTGGAGTAAAGGGGAAATAAAAAAAAAAAAAAAAAAGCATGCGCGAAATAAAAATACTGATGACGTTTTTTCACCCTCATCGATTATGCTGACTAATCACAGCAGTTCTTAGATGTTATATCGACGAATGGCGGAATACTAAGCATGTTTTTGTCTTGTCTTTTTGTCAGTGTGTATATTTTTGTTACACACTGCCGAACGCTATCATTTGTTTTTTTTTTGTGTAAAACAAATCTACCCATCGGTATGAATAAAGTAACCTTGACCTCGAATTCAACAATGCATAATCACACACAGTATGACTATCTTTTGGCCTGAGGCCTGAGGGAGCAATCTGTGGCCTGAGGGAGCCATCTATGGTCTTATTTGAACATCACAACCTCCAGGAATGTACAGACACTATACTTTCCTACATCAAAAACTGTGTTGAGACTGTCACTGTTAACAAACGGATCCGGGTTTTCCCCAACCAAAAACCCTGAATGACCAGTGAGGTCCAGACTCTCCTCAAGATCCACAACACTCCCTTCAGGTCAGGGGACAGGGCCCTGTCCAGCGCAGCCAGGTCTTGGACTGGTCAGGAATGAGGCAAAGCATCAAGGATGCCAATACGGCCTACAAGAGGAGAATCGAGGAACACTTCACTGCAAATGATCCAAGGAAGATGTGGCAGGGAATTCAGCACATCACAGATTACAAAGGCAGCAGCCCCGTGACTGTTGACGCCGATGGCTCGCTGGCAGAGGAACTAAATTATTTATTTGCCCGTTTTGAGGCTGTATGGCCGTCAACAATCACACCTCACCCACCAGCCTACAGCACTGACACACTCACTCTTCAAGAACATGAAGTGAGACGTGTGTTAAGGACAGTAAACTCCTGAAAAGCTGCCGGCCCAGACGGAGTACAGGGAAAAGTACTCTCTTGCGCTAATCAGCTGATTGGGGTCTTCATAAAAATATTAATTCTTTCCCTGGCACAAGCCATCATCCCATCCTGCCTCAAACAATCCACCATCATCCCCATCTCCAACAAGACAGCCATAGACAGCCTAAATGATTACAGGCCAGCTGCACTTACACCTATGATCATGAGGTGTTTGGAGAAACTAGTTTCACAGCACATCAGGATCGGCCTGCCCCCCACCTTCAACCCACATCAGTTTGCCTACAGGGCAAACCGATTCACTAAAGATGCTATCACCATAGCTCTATACACCGCACTAAGCCACCTGGAACACGAGGGAAGCTATGCAAGGATGCTATTCATAGACTTTAGCTCAACCTTCAATACTATCATCCTGGACATTCTGGATGAGAAACTTTCTCACCTAGGCCCCTCCATCCCCATCTGCAGCTGGATTAAGGACTTTGACAAACCGCCCACAGTCTGTCAGCCCACCTCACCTCTAATCCACCTCTCCCCCATCCTCAAATTCAGCACTGGTTCTCCACAAGGTTGTGTACTGAGTCCACTGTTGTACTCGCTGTACACACAACTGCACTCCAACCCATCTCTTTCGAACAACATGATGAAGTTTGCTGATGACACCACAGTTGTCGGGCTCATCTCAGGAGGAGATCAGTCCGTTTATAGAGACAAGGTCACGAGACTGTCAGCGTGGTGTTCAGTGAACAACCTCACACTGAACGCCATAAAAACAAAGGAACTGGTCATGGACTTTTGCAGTAGACAGGAGAGCTCTACAGAGGCTGATCAGCAGAGCCCAAAGGATCACTGGCTGCTCTCTGCCCTGCCTAGAGGACATTGCTAGCTCTTGCTATCATAGCAGAGCTAGTAGCATCACTAAGGACTCTTCCCACCCCAGACACCACATGTTTCACCTGTTGCCCTCTGGCAGGCGCTACAGGTCACTTAAAGCCTGTACAAACAGACTTAGAGACTTTCTTCCCAGAGCTGTCACCATACTAAACAGAAGACATAACCACAACTGATCCCCATAAATACACTAAAATATGTGACATAGCTGTGCAATAACATTCATCAATGTGGGGAAAAAAACATGCTTCCCCTGAAATTTGTAATTGTAACATTTGTATACATTTATATTTGTAAAATACCTTCCATTGTTGTATATTGTCTTTTTGTACTTTGCTTATAATGCGTCAACTGGAGCAGCACTCTTAATTTCACTGTATAAAATACAGTGACAACAAAGGCATTCTGTCTGTCTTTCTTTTTATATGCAATGGGCAATATAATGACAGAATGCCTCTTGGTGTCTATCTACAAATCTTACTAAAATTCTACTGCATGAGGAGGAAATCTGTAGAAAGATCTTGATTTTACCATTTTCCAAGGGGGTCTGAAAGGTAGCCAGGCTGGTTGTTGGGCAAAACTCTCCTCCATCTTTGTTCCTGTGTATGAAAATCACAATTTCTCTTTAGTTCACCAGTTGGATCAACATACTAAAATTAGACACACTGTGACTCTGATTGACTGATTAAATATTTGGTATATTTTTTTGCATCTTTTCTCTCTATACTTCTGTCCTCTTTTCTTTTTTGTTAAGCACCAAAAACATTTTGTGACGTAACATTTAGAATGACTGTACTTACTCAGTACGAATAAAGTACTGCAGGTAAGTTTCTTTTCACCTACAGACTCCTGATTGTACTATTAAAGGCTTTTAAGAAACCACAATCAGTGATATACGACGAATATTCAGTGTGTCTCAATGTCTGTAATGTGTTTTTTTCCGTTTTTTGCAAGACCTACTTGAAGCTTTAAAAAAACAGAGCTCCTCAGTAAAAACACCAACCTGTCCATCTGCCCGGCTGACTTCCTATTGGCAGGGTGAGTATTTCTCTGTCCATTTTCAGCTTGGCTGTTTAACTGGGATTTCTGATCAGGGCCTGGGACCAGGTGGACTTCAGGTGATGGTGGTGAATGGACCAGGGACTGGTCTGATGAAGATGTTGGACTAAGTGGTTCACATGGCTTAAAGTGAGGGAGTTCTTGAGCAGCAAGCTTCTTGACCTCAGCAACTCTGAAAGCTTCAGCCATAATATTTTCCTCAGTTTTGACCCTGGTCTCCAGGGATGGCAAACCATCCCCCTGTCTGCAAACACAATTAAAATATATTGCAGGTACTGTCTCACATACTGCCTTAAATTTGTAAGGTCTTCATCGTACTATGTTAAGGCCGTGAGATGACATATGTTGTGAATTCACGCTATATAAATAAAATTAAATTGAATTGAAATTGAATAAGTTCTTTACTTACCTAGAGGTGTGTTTTGCCTCCTTGCAGAATCCAGCCTCTTGACACAGTGCCCTCAGCAGGTCCAGATGCTCAGGGTTGCCGATTCCCATCCCTGTGTTCTGGATCTCAGACTGGATGCTGTATTCGTTTATGAGAGTTTTCATACCTGGCACCTGGGTGACCCGAACCTTGGGGGAAAAAATAAAATAAAAAATCATGCCTCAAATTGTAAAAAGGAGAGTGCTGATTTAGGAAACTTTGTAATCTGTCAATTGAGTCAATTTTTGGATGAAAGTAACAGTATGAGGGATGACTGATCTTACCATAGGATCAACAAAAACGGTGTTTCCCAGACTGAGAACTGCTCTGCCTCGATGCTGCAGGCCTCGGATCTTTTGGCTGATCGCTCTGGTGACCTGCAGGACCACAAGTGTCCATTAACATGACCGCCACAAAACTGTTTTGTTCACAATTAAACTATCTGCGCCCCAGCAGGAAGGACACGGAATACGTTAACCATTGTTGTTTAGTTTGGACTGTAACATCCAACAGACACTAGACCTACACACGTGGACAAACTTGTTGGTACCCCTCGGTTAATGAAAGAAAAACGATGACAGAAATAACTTGAATCTGACAAAAGTAATAATAAATAAAAATTCAATAAAAAATAAGCAATGAAAATCAGACATTGCTTTTGAACCGTGGTTCAACAGAATTATTTTTAAAAATAAACTCGTGAAACAGGCCTGGACAAAAATGATGGTGCCCCTAGAAAAGACTGAAAATAATGTGACCATAGGGACATGTTCAATCAAGATGTGTCCTCTAATTAGCATCACAGGTGTCTACAAACTTTTAATCAGTCAGTCAGCCTATTTATAGGGTTACAAGTAGTCACTGTGCTGTTTGGTGACATGGTAAACATGGACCAGAGGAAGCGAAGGAGAAAGTTGTCTCAGGAGATTAGAAAGAACATTATAGACAAGCATGTTAAAGGTAAAGGCTATAAGACCATCTCCAAGCAGCTTGATGTTCCTGTGACTACAGTTGCACATATTATTCAGAAATTTAAGATTCATGGGAGTGTAGCCAACCTCCCTGGATGTGGCCGCAGGAGGAGAATTGATGACCAATCAAAGAGACTGATAATACAAATGGTAACAAAAGAGCCCAGAACAACCTCTAAAGACATTAAGGGTGAACTCCAAGGTCAAGGTACATCAGTGTCAGATCGCACCATCCGTCGTTGTTTTAGCCAAAGTAGACTCCATGGGAGACGACCAAGGAGGACACCATTGTTGAAAACAAATCATAAAAAATAATGACCCAAAACATACAGCTAAAAACACCCAAGAATGGCTCAGAGGAAAACATTGGACTATTCTGAAGTGGCCTTCTATGAGCCCTGATCTAAATCCTATTGAACATCTGTGGAAGGAGCTGAAACATGCCGTCTAGAGAAGGCACCCTTCAAACCTGAGACAACTGGAGCAGTCTGCTCATGAGGAGTGGACCAGAATACCTGCTGAGAGGTGCACAAGTCTCAGTGACAGTTACAGAAATCGTTTGATTGCAGTGATTGCCTCAAAAGGTTGTACAACAAAATATTAAGTTAAGGGTACCATCATTTTTGTTCAGGCCTGTTTCACGAGTTTATTTTTTAAAATAATTCTGTTAAACCATGGTTCAAAAGCAATGTCTGATTTTCATTGGTTAATTTTCATAGAATCTTTTTTTTATTATCTTTGTCAGATTCAAGTTACTTCTCTGACCATTGTGGGTTTTTCTTTCATTAACCGAGGGGGAACAACAATTTTGTCCGTGTGTAACTATTTTTTTTGAAAGAATGACGCTTATATATTTGAGAACTCCTGCTGAAGTCTGAGGATTCCCTAAAACAGACCCCAAATAGACTTAAGTCTCAGAAACATTTTCCAAGGGGTTACAGTTCTTAAATTGTCACTATGGTCAACAGTTTATAAAGACCCAAAGACATTTATCATTTGTATTAGTTTAATTTCAGATAACCAATCTTCTGAAAGTAGTTAAACTTGATAGAAGAGTTTATACTTAATCCAACAAATAAAAAGCTTAAAAAGGTAGATTGAAAAGTAATAAAGAGAACTAGAAGTGGGAAGGAAACCTTGGGATGCCAGTTATTCTCAGCATCAACTGGCTTGACCCGGCAGATGATGATTTCCACAGCCTGGCCAGGCAGGGACTGAAACTGCTCTGGCAGATGGAGGATCTGATGAGATCTGACCTCCTCCTCCTTTCCCACATCAATGAACTCAGCACAGACGCTGAAAAATAGGCAGTCATCTCTGTCTGGCAGAGAGAGGATCTTCACCCTGCCAGGGAGCACACAGTCATGTTATATACTGTGGTTTAAGGGCTCCAGACTGCGATTATTTTGGTCGCATATGTGACCTGTTTTTGATAGTGTGCAAGTTAAAATGTCAAGCGGTCGCACTGGTGCGAGTGAACAATGATCATTTACTAGTTTTGTTTTCGCTTTATGCAGTACAGGCAGCTACTGCGTTTGCAAATATGACTTCTATTTCTTCCGTGGCTCGTTCAGTCTGTTTCTGCCTGATGCGCAAAATGAGCTGTTGAACTAATGTTTCTTCTTCAACCAACAGAGAGTTGGAGGTGACTCAGACATCTGATGGTCAGAGAGCAGGTGCAGCTGGAACAGATTTAGCCGGTGAGCTACAGCAGTAGTAGGGCTGTAAAATTAGCTATTATTAATCACAATCATGATTTTAGCTTCTAACCACTGTATAAAAACAATCAACTGTGGTCTTTTAATTTTTTAATGCACTCTGATCATAAAAACTGTCGCGTATATATGTGCCCTGTTTTCTCCGCTCATAGAAAACAGCACAGGTGGATAAAATTACTTGGTTTCATCTTGGACAAATCTGACTTTATAACACTTTATTTAAACTTTTCAACTAATTTTGATATTCAACCACAACCCCCAAGCAGCCTCTACCACAGCCTGCAATGTGAGGCGTTTAGG